AGTTTAGCACCCCCAATCATCTTCCCCGAGGTTAAATCCTGAAATTCACAACAAGAAGACCAAAGATTAACCCGACAATTATGATCAAGGGTTAGTTTGCTGACAGATAAGAGATTGTATGATAGGTTAGGAACATGTAGAACATCTTTAAGATTTAGAGAAGGAGAAATAGACACAGTTCCTTTTCCAGCAACAGTAGCAAAGGAACCATCTGCAATTTTAACCTTTTGATTCCCTGCACAGGGTGTATATGAAGAGAAGAATTGTGAAGCGCCGGTCATATGACTAGTGGCACCTGAATCTAATATCCAGGAGCCATTAGATTTGGTACAAGCAATGGTTGCAATGAAAAAATTACCTGGCTAGGCTAGAGAGCAGGATGGGTTAGAATTTCTTAACGATTGAGATTGAAACATTTTATATAAGTGCTCTATTTGTTCTTTTGTGAAAGGAAGAGACTCCGAGGATGATTGCTGCCCTGGATCCAAATTGCTTACTTGAAGTGTGCGGACATCTCCCCCTGACTTGTTGTCACTGTCTGATTTTTTCTTCCAACCTGCTGGTTTCCCGTGCAACTTCCAGCAAGTTTCCCGAGTATGCCATGACTTTTTACAATGATCACACCAAGGTCTTTGCTTTCCTCCTCGTTTTTCTCCGTCTACGTCTACACCTCGGGCCACAAGAGCGGACCCTTCATTCTCAGTTTTTGTTTCATTAACATTCTTCAACATCACTTGCCGCCGTGCTTCTTCTCTACGCACTTCTGAAAAAACTTCTCTTATAGTAGGCAAGGGCTTTCGCCCTAAGATACGTCCCCGAACCTCATCTAGTTCTTTATTCAAACTAGCCAAGAAGACAAAGACCCGACCTCTTTCTATCTTCTTTTTGTACCGAGCACTGTCACTCGGACTTTCCCATTCTTCTTCTTCAAATAAATCCAGCTCTTGCTAAACAACCATCATCTCATTATAATAAGCAGTTACATCATGCTTACCTTGCTGCATCTTCCACATTCAGGTATTCAGTTCGAACAGTTGTGAATGATTGTCCAGATCTGAATACGTTTCCCTAACAGCTTCCCACACATCACGAGCAGTCGGCAAGAACATGAATGGTTTTCCAACCACAGGATCCATAGAGTTGATCAACCAGGCAGTAACCATAGAGTTTTCAGAACGCCACTGCCTGTACTTTGGATCATCAGTGGCTGGTGGTTTTACTTCGCCATTCAAATAGCCGAGTTTCCCTTTGCCGTCGATCACCAACCGCATGGACTGAGGCCACTCAAGATAATTCTTTCCATTCAATTTGTGAATGGTAATCTGAAGAGAATTCTCAGAGAGAGAGATGGCCGCTGACTGAATACCTCCCTCCAAAGATGTCACACCACTGGTAGCATCCGAAGAGGCTGAACCAGAGCCAACCATGGCGGCCTTAAAATTCATGATTGGACCCTAAGGCTCTGATACCATGTGGAAAAA